ATTCATTATTCACCTAAACAATCTAAAATTATTATAAAAATATTATTATATAAAATTATTATATTTAATTTTCATCTCTAAATTTCCTAGTAATCATTTTAATAGTTTAACCAAAGGCAGGAAAAGAGTTTACAAATATGGAGAAAAATAAAGACTGAAAACATATATTTCTATTTAAAAACATAAATTCATACTATGTAAAATTACTTTTTTCCCTCATTTCTTCTACTTCTCTATACTTTCTGACAAACATATTCCTACTGACGAAAAATAACTCAAACCTTTGATTCCCTTGCCCCATTCTCTTGCCTATCATGCAGTCCTGGGAAAAACAACAGCTTCAAAAATGCAAAACAATACTCTACCAACTAAGATATGTACCAGGACAAGTGATATTTTGATGTGATAAATGACACTTTGGTCTTTATTTCAGACATCTGCATCATTATTTATATCCACTAAGCATTATGCCTCTGAGTTAATTATATAACAGGAAGTCATGCAACTTATGTTCTCCTCTGCCCATGAAAACTAGTCCTGAACCTACAGCTCTGACAGAGGCACCCAGCTCTGGACTCAAAGGTCCTCCCATTCTGTGGTCTTTATTGAACACAGAACATTCAGCATGGAGTTGAGACTGAGCTGGGTTTTCCTTTTTCTTTTCAAAGGTAATTTATACATAAAGAGAGACACTGAGCATGTGGCCAGAAATTAATGAAAGGGACAATGGAATTCTATGCCAGTTTAATGAAGGATTCTCTGTGTTTACAGGTGTTACAGGTGTCCAGTGTGAGGTGCAGTTGTTGGAGTCTGGAGCAGCTTGGAAAGTCCCTGAAACTCTCATGTGCAGCATCAGGATTGACCTTCAGTTACTATTGTATGAACTGGGTCTGCCAGGCACCAGGGAAGGGGCTGGAGTTGGTTGATGTGATCAAACACAAAACTAATAATTATGGAACAAGCTATGGGTAGTCTGTAAGTGGCACGACTCCAAAAGCAGTGTCTACCTGCAAATGAACAACTTAGGAATCGAAGACACAGCCATTTATTACTGTGCTAGAGACACAGTGAGAAGACTTCAGTGTGAACCCTGACACAAACTTCCCTGCTCAGAACCAGCAGTAGCTGCAGATCACACTTGGAAAATCAGCACATTTCAGGAATATGTATAGATACTACTTCATGCTTGTTTGTGTGGTCACAGCTGTCACCCTATCTACTGATTTCTCAGGATGCTCTCTGTATTTATGGTCTGTGGAGTCTGTGATAGCAGAGTTCACTTTTGCTACAAGAAGCCCCAAATAAAAAACCAGAGTAAGGCAGAGCAGGCGTTCTTTGATGTGTGTAAACTGACCTTGAGTCATGGGAGCTTCGGTGTATGACTACTTTGTGATAATCCCTTTTGGAACAAGGCAACTCAAGGTGACAATGGCAGCTGCAAACCCAATGGAGGATCTGGTGGATCCACAGCAGTGAAGCACCTTTGTTCTGTACTGGGAATGTAATGCCTTGATTCTGATTCATCAGTTAATAAAACCTAGAAATTGAACATTTACATCTTTAGAGGGCCTACCTACTGGCTAGTTTTTCTAAGTTATTATTGTTACATCTTTTCTAGTGTCTAAGACTCTGTAAAATAATTTATTATTCATTCTTACAGCTATTTTGGGTCTATGATATTGTACAGAAGTTTGCCAGAATATGTGTTTTTTGTTTCCTCCAGTAACAACTAGCTCCTCCTCAATAACTAATCTGTTATCCACAGTGCCATTAGTCTTTACAATATGCTGTGGATTTTCTAATTGTCCTGAGAGAGGCTGCTCTCCACTGTTACTGGAAAAGACTGAATTATCTTTGATCTGGGGGCCTCTATAGGGAGACCCCTGGGCACGTTTCCTGGTTGCAAAAGCTTACTTTGTCTGTCTGTAGTTGACCAACATTCTTTGCTCCAGTGTATGTCTTTTCCACACCTCTAGCAGAGGCCAGGATGCTGAGGCCTTCTATGTGAAGTATTTTTGGTAGAAGCATTATTTCTAGGAATGCTTTGCCTACAATTCCTACTCAAATGTCCTATTTTACCACAATTAAAACATCTAGGGTTTCAATGTCTTTTGAAACTTCTGAAGATTGCTTTCCCAACCCAATTCGATATCTCCTCTTGGATAGGCCATTTTTCATCCTGATTCCTCTTAAATATTTTAGAAATGGCCTCTCCTATTCAGGTTCCTGCTTCTGGATTGCCATACTCATCATTAGTTGTATATAACACCCATTCCTCTAATGGTGCTGATCTGATCTTTAATGGCCACAGTATCTGTTTATATTGTGGGTTTGCATTCTCATAAGCCAAAGATTCTGTAAGAAGTCGACTAATATTAGGATCAGTTATCTGTAAATCTACTGCTCTGGATAATCTTTGTAAGAATTCAGAGAGTGCCAACTGGTTCAGCCACTTTGGAAAGCAGTATGGAGATTCCTCAGAAAAATGGGAATAAACCTACCACAAGACCCAGCAACTCCACTCTTAGGCATATATCCAAAAGATGCCCATTCATATAACAAAGATGTCTGTTCCACTATGTTCATAGCAGCTTTATTTGTAATAGCCAGAACTTGGAAGCAACCTAGATGTCCCTCACCCGAAGAGTGGATAGAGAAAATGTGGTACATCTACACAATGGAGTACTATTCAGCAGAAAAAAATAATGGAATCATGAGATTCGCAGGCAAATGGATGACACTAGAAGAAACCATCCTGAGTGAGGTAACCCAGTCACAAAAAGAGAAACATGGCATGTACTCTCTCATATATGGATTTTAGTCATAGATCTGGGGAGTGCCAGCCTACAATCCTATGGCCAGAGAGTCTGGGAAACAGTAACTTCATTTACTGGCTGGTTAAGTACTGAGCTGAACTCAAGAAAGCCAGTATCAGAGAGGGAGGACTGATGATCAAAGGGATTAAGACTGGGCTGGTTGAACCCCCAGAAACAGCTGACCAGAAAAAGGTTAACTCTTGATTCCCAGGCATCAGCCTGGGAATCCAGCATGGGACTGATCAAGACCCCCTGAATCTGGGTGTCAGTGAGGAGGCCTAGGTAATCTATTGAGCCTTGGACAGCAGATCAGTACCCATCCCAAGTATACACACGGTCTCTGGACTCCCATAGAACAATGTGAGGTGCACTCTCACCCTGAACTCTTGGGGAAGGGTCTAGGCCCTGCCCTATATGAAATGACAGACTATGGACACCCCCATGGAGGGCCTCACCCTCCCTGGGGGAATGAGGGGATAAGGGGGGGGATGGGGGAGGGCACGGGAGGAGGGGTGGGAAAGGGAGAGGGACCTCGTACTGACTTGTGAAGCAACCTTGTTTCTTATCTAAATTTAAAATGGAAAATAAAAAAAATAATTAATAAAAAAAAGAATTCAGAGAATCTTTCTCTTGGACTCTGTATCACTTTTGAATATGATTCAACTTTTTCTGCTGTTTCACAAACCTTATCCAAAGCATTTAGTGCTGCTGTCTTGCATAAATGAAATGTAACCTCATCATAATCAGCTTGGAGTTGTGGGTCAGAAAATTGCTTCTCCTCAATAATCTTACTTTTGGAAGTTTCAAAGCTGTCCTTCAACCCTTGAAGTTCAAGGGCCTTGGCTTCCTTTATCCACAGAGCTTTCCATTGTATTTGGGAAGACTGGTCCAGCACTGCAGATATTAAATCATGCCAATCTGAGGGAGTTATCTTATTAGTAGTAGCCCATGTGCTTAGTAACTGTTTTACGTAAGGGCTGTGGACCCCATAAGACATTATCGCTTGCTTTATAGCTTTCATGGGAATGGGTTCCCATTTATGTGTAGTGGAACCAGTTTGGTTCCTCCACAGTGCTGGCTTTTCTACCATGGTTACTGGAAAGGCCGCCTTAGGATGTCTAGTAGCAATGCATCATTTATTTCCTGATAGCCTAGCATCTGTTGACTCAACGTCTGATGTTTCTGATGATGTATCTTCTAATGATTGAAATTTTGCAAGCATGTCATCTCTGAGGTCTTGAATTTCCAACATTAAAAATTTATCCAAGTCTTTGGACTGTTCAGTTAAATGTGATCCCAAGCTTTTCATACCATCCTCCCTAAAAACTCCAAAGGCATCTATTTTTCCTTCCAGAAAACACATTCGGTCTGCTAGATATCCATTGTTATCAGACACAGATTGAATTGACCCTGCTAATTTGGAAAATTACTCCTGGCTAGATTCCATCTTAGCAATAAATGCAGTGGACATTGAAATGAATGTGTCTAGAAGGTTGTTCTGATCAAATTCCAAATTATCTGTTTTGGTAACTAAATTACCTTTTTCCCGAATTTTTGACTCTAATTTTTGAATTGACCCTGATAACTTGGAAAGTTCCACCTGGTTAGACTATAATTTTTGAATCATTTGTACATGTTTTTTCCATGTGATTACATGTATTAACACACTAATCACAAACATGATACACATAATCGTATGAAAAATATCATAATTGTCTTTTACTGCATAATCCATGACGTTGGTAACAAAAATCTCTAAAATCCTGCAGTAGTAAATTACCTATTATGTTATAATTATATGTTCTTACCACCTATTAGTAATTCCCGAAATTGCAAAAATCACCTCTTGTTTTGTCTTAGATTAAAATACCTGTAGTTACCGAGCTAGGCCAGCAGATGGCGGAGGTGTACCGCCAAACACTGCTTCTCTGCGGAAAAGCGGATGTTTCCCAAGGAACCTGTGGAAATTCAGTGAACAGATTTGGGGGCAAAGAAGGGTTGGGGAAGTTGGCGAACACCTGCACTGCAGCGGAGCTCGTGGTGGCTTTATTAGCTGCTAAGCCACTGGAAGAGAGATGTTGATAAACGCAGGGTTTCGGGTCACTGATTGCTGGGAGTGCATATGTGAGCCCAACATGCTGTGGCAGTGAGGGCAACGATTATGCTGCTGGTCTTAAGGGGGCCATGGGTAGATGCAGTCAGCCAGGGCTTCTTGCCCCGGGATCCAGAGCAGCAGCGGAAGACGTGAGGTGGGCAGTCCAGCACATGATGCTCCGAAGTAACGTGGTCCCGCTCTTGCAGATGAAATGGCTGCGGCGGCTGTGTTTTCAGAAGAATGGGATTTGAATGGAATTCGGGAGAGGTGGAAACTGCTGGCTAGGGCTTGAGCCCTTGTAGCAGGGAGAGGGAGAAAAACGGATGTGCTCTGGGAGCTAGCATGCTGGGCAGAAAGAGGGAGCGCACAATGCAGCTGCATCTGCAGCGGGGTGGGGATGGTGGCCCAGGATCTGGAGGTGCAGCATCCCACGAAATGGCTGGAATGCTGATGAGCACTCACCTTAGTTATCAATGGCTGTGATGCACGGTTTTGTCACCCAACTGCAGATGGATGATGTTCTTTTGTCTGGCCAGGGCAGGGAGGGCATGCAGGTGAGGGTGGGGAGGGTAGCACTCACCTCGGGAGCAGAGCCAGGCATGGCCTTCCAATCCACTCAGCTGACACCAGATAATGATGATAGCTGATCCTATAGGGCATACAATATATGTATTTACCAGAGAAAGACAGAGTCATACAAGCTAGGAATTAGAAGCGTGGCTGGCTTCCAAAAAGGGAGGTCCTTTTTCCTTTTGCTTCCTTTTTTCTCTACCTGTGCTAATTTACTTGTCCCCACCCTCATGGGCAGATAGCTTTGTGGGGTTCACTCCTACACTATTCCAAGAATGTTCATGACGGTGTTGAACCATTGCTTTGTACAGAATAGAGCAGGAGGGTACTATGTCTTGGAGGACAAGCACATTCTCTCCACATTTACTTGGTGCAGGAGACACTTCCTGAGAATAAGGAAGTATGATGATGAACTTAGAGAAGAAATTCCAGGAGGAAAATAAATACACTGTCGGCAAACAGTCGTCACAATGTACTCTCAAGCAGAGGATGCTCACATATGTGAAAGAGGTGATGGGAACAAAATTTGCTTGTCCATAAGACTTTTTACCTTGACCTGTGTGATTAAAAAATAAATAAATGGCACTGTTTACAACAGAGAATATTTTTGTCCTCTAGGTGGTTTTCCTTTTTTTTATTTTGTAAATAGTATTTTAATCAAAATAATCTTATGGTAGCCATAGTAACAATGGCAGTATTCTTTTATTCCTGACATTCAGCCATTGTACAGCCAAGCTACATGTGTGTTCTCCTAAATGAAAAATTATACATAGATAGAAGCAATTGCATTCAGACAAGTCAAAGTTATACCAGAGCCAAGAATCAAAAGAAGTCCTACGTGTACCTTGTTGCCTCTAACAACAGAAAATATCATGTGAGTGTGTAGGTTTGTAAGGGTCACTGTGTATTATACACTGGTGTCAATCAGTGTCAGTATAGACATGCAACAAAGACAATGCAGCTTCAGAAAACAGGGCAGGAAGCATGCAGGTCTCCTGATAGCAGGGACTGGTCTCTTATATTCCTAGTTCAGAATCCCACTTCTCTGTCCACAATGTTATCAGGGAAGATAACAGAGAGAATCAAATTCATAAAGAAAACAATTTGGATTCTTCCTCGTATTGTGAGACAAACACCTATTTCTGGAGTTCTTACCTTCTACACAGATGCAAACAAATCAGGTAAGGCATGGTATAAATCAGGAAATATAAGTAAAGTAGTTCAAAGCCCTTACAACTCCATACAAAAGGCAGAGTTATATGCCATTCTCATGGTACTTAAAGACTTTACAGAGCCTCTCAATATAGTCATGGATTCTCAGTATGCAGAGAGAGTTTTCTTACACATTGAGACTGTAGAATTTGTTCCTGATGGCACAGCATTAACCTCATTGTTTTTACAATTACAGGAAACCATCAGAAACAGGAATGATCCTATATATATAACAAACATCAGATCCCATACAGGTCTGCCAGGTCCTCTGGCACAAGGCAATGTTGAAATTGATCGTTTAATAATAGGTAATGTGTTGGAAGTTTCACAATTTCATAAGAAACACCATGTTAACAGCAAAGGTTTAAAGAAGCCAAAGAAATAGTAAGTAATTGCCCCAATTTCACATTCTGCAATCAAACTGTTACCAGCAGGTTATAATCCTAAAGGAATTCACAGAAATGAACTTTTGCAAATGGATGTATTTCACTTCCAAGAATTTGGCCGTTTGAAATATGTACACTATACCATAGACACATTCTCAGGCTTCCAATGGGCTACTGCCCTCAGCACTGAAAAGGCTGATAGTGTTATTATACACCTCTTAGAGGTGATGGCTGTTATGGGTATACCTAAAACAATAAAAACTGACAATATTCCAGCATATGTCTCCAGTAAATTGGAATATTTTTCTTTTTTTATTTATTCATTTATTTTTTTAATTTTTATTTTTTATTTATTTTTAAGTTTAAATTTAGATTAGAAACAAGGTTGCTTCACAAGTCAGTTCCAGGTCCCTCTCTCTTTCCCTCCCCTCGTCCCATGCCCTCTCCCATCCCCCCCGTTATCCCCTCATTTCTCCAGGGAGGAATGTTTTTCAAATATTATAGTATAAAACATGTAACTGGTATAACTTACAATCCCACAGGACAAGAAGTGGTTGAAATATCTAATCTAACCTTAAAATAGATGCTTTATAAACAGCAAGGGGGGACAAAGACTCCCAAACACAGGTTACATAATGCTTTGCTAAAGTTGAATTTTTTAATGCTAATGAAAAAGGACAAACTGCAGCAGAAAGACACTGAACTACAGAGAAGACTTCTGAACTGAACCAACCAGTCTGGAAACCAGTATATGTGTTATGTTGGGGAAGGGGTTTTGCTTTCGTTTTCACAGGAGAAGAAACATTGTAAGGCCCATCGAAATTAATTAAGATTTGATAAGAAAAGAAGACTTCTCAGTAGGAGGACAGATGGTGGCTCATCTACAAGGTCATATTCTATCATGTACAGTTATGTTTAAGGAGACCTCATAAAAGGAAAGAGAAGTGTTCTGTTTGTATCTTTACAGGAAAACTTAGTTCTGAACAGCGAACAAATACTAGGTATATGGATACGTAAAGAAGAAAGGATAGCTACCCAGAGGACCATCAAACATGCAATAATACAATGTGGTATCAATGTGCAAATCTCTCTATTTTGTTATTATAATTTCTATTTTCTTTGCCTTAGTCCCAATTCATCTAATTAATGCTGGCTTTAGAGTTGGATTGGCTTTCCTGCTTTAAACTCAAGCATATTGTTAAAATACAATTCAGACTTTCTGTATTATATCAAAGAGCCATTGATATAAGACAGAAGAAAACAAAAATAGGGACTGTCATCTGTGTATACTTGGCTGTTTGTCTAAAATTCTAATCTCCTTCATGTTTATTATCTTCCTTAGGTTTGCCTTTCCCAGTATACATACATATAAAAGTTAAAATTTCCATGCTAACATTAATGTTTCAGTTTTCTAGAGAAAAAAAGGATTTCCTGGCAGCAATCTTCAACTGCTTCAGAAAGAAAATGTGGATTCATTTCTCTGACACTTCCTGATTCGACTGGATGCATTTGAACTGCCCCACATCATCGACCCCACTTGACAAGTACCATCCTGAAACCAGCTTAGAACTACATCACTCGACACATATCCAGACCAAGGAACTGATACAGTGCATCTTCTACAATCTGACCAGAGCTTCAGATAAGAGCTTCAATAAAATCTTCTATTTAAAATGAAAGGAGAAACCTACAAAGTTATCTGCCCATAAAGGCAGGGATAAGTAAATTAGCACAGGTAGAGATGAAAGGAAGAGAAAGGAAAAAGGACCTCCCTATTTGGAAGCCAGCCATGCTTCTAACTACTAGCTTGTGTGACTCTCTCTTTCTGGTAAATAAATATATTGTATCCCCTATAACATCAGCTATCCTCATTAGTATAGTATAAACCACAGTGATGGGATAGAAGGAGAGAGGGTCTGCTTATCTGTAAAATTCAAGGAACCACCTATAGAAATCGAAAGAGTTGTATGAATGTGGAGTTGTTGATAGATTTGCACTGGCTGCACCCATGGAAGTTTCATAAGGCTCAATTCTCTAGAGACTGAACTGGATTACTCAAGAATAGACAAAGCTTCCATCTTTAAAAGAACTCCATCTTATGGCTGCTCTGATGCATCACAGTCACACAAGATTCCTAGGAGATCCTCCTGACCTGTGTACGATTGCTGAGAGATAATACATATTTCTAGAAACATTTCAGGGCAATCCATACATTGGAATAACTTACATCTATTGGAGAGCATGTGCTGTCAAAGAAAACACAGAGGAACAAAATCTTATATTTACTATTGTGACTATTCAAATGACATCAAGATAATATGATCAATAACATTGTTAATATTTTTGCATGAGACAGCAAAAATTAAGACCTAAAAATTAATTATTCAGAGCCTGAGTGACAGGTGCAAAGAGGCCAGCAAGTGCGTTTCCTGACTGAGAGTTTATTTCTCTCATTTAACGTCATGCACGTTTCAGTATACCATCTCCCATGTCAGTTAGAAACTGCCCCTAGGAGGATAAGGTCAGTTACTTCCTAGAATCTATAGCAGTCTCCTGGTAATGCTACAATAAAAGAAATGACCTATCTGAAATCACTATGAAGACAGTTTATCTCATAGTAGAATCAATTCCTGTATTTGAAAACTAGCTTCTGCATGGTTCCACAGCTGTTGGGGTTCCAGAGTACAACGAAAAGTGAACATGTAACCCAGAGGTTATCTCCAGTTATAACTTGCTGCAAATGAAAATTAGATTCTTCAAGGGAGTATAACAGAGGAATCAAACACTCCTAAATGTAAGTTGAGGTGCATAAGCAGATGTCATAAGGAGTCCAATTCAACTGCATTTGAGCAATTCTTTGTAATAATTTCAAACGTCTTTATTGATATTTTATACATTTATTTGTTCATCTCTTATTTTATTCTACCCTTCCTTTGCCTATACAGAACAGCTTCTAACTTTGTGTTTTTATGGGATTCCAGAGTATGTGTATCAGGTGGTCTCTGCATCCATACCTGTTTCTTGTGCCTTTTCTTAGTCTCGTTTCCTTCAGTTTTTACTTCTTTTATTTTGTCCTGTTCTGAAGTGTTACATTTTCTTTGATCTTATTTTAATCTATTTGATTTTATTCACTAGAAGTCTTTTTGTTTTAAAACACACAGCAAGGTGGTGAATATGGATGGAATGGACTTGGGAGTTGGAGAAGGCAGAGGGGTGAGTTGTGCAGCTGCTTCTATCAGCATGTGTTTCCTCTACATTCCACAGCATGGATGGAGCAAAAAGTAGGTGTGGACCCTATGCTACAACAATATGACAGCATGCTACCTTTCTGGGAAAGACAGAAACTCATTAAATGGGTGGAAAAGGGAAGAAAAACTTGAGCAGTCTGAGCTGCCTAATCATAAATAAGGAAATGAGGAAGCCAAATTTGAAAAGAATCTTAGCACTGAAGTTAGACCTTAAAAATGCAGGAACAGTGACTATGTCCATAGGAGAATTATTGATAAAAGCCAGAACTTGAAAACAAACTGGATGCCCCTAAACTAAAGAATGGATAAAGAAAATGAGGTACATTTACACCATATAATACTACTCATGCTAAGAAATTATGACATTTTAAAATTGACAGGCAAATGGACAGAACTAGGAAAAATACCCAGACTGAAGAAAAAAAACAAATATGGTATGTACACTCTCATAAGTGGATATTAGACATAAGGAAAATGATACACTGCCTATAATCACAACTCCAGATAAGCTATAACTCTCTTCCAGAAAAAAATTGAAGCAGATGTGGAATTCCACAACTATCCATTGGGCCATGATACTAGAGTACAATCAAAGTGAGGGAAGAGTGATATGATGAACAAAGCACCTTGGTCCTGCCTCATTGAGATGATGGGACAGGCTTATAACATTTCCTAGGTGAGGTCTTACCCTCTCCAAAGGGAAGATTGTATATGGGGGTGTGAAGAGAGTAGGGAGAGTGGGAGGAGAGGAGGGAAGGGGAACTGGGATTAGAATATAAAAATAATTAATCATTACAAAATATAACAGGAAAAGAAATAAATTGATTGGGAAAAATTCCCCCAAAATGGAGCAGAAAATTTTGGTGGGGAGTGTGGGATAGGAAGTGCAGGAGGGGCATGACAAGATGTGTTTTCTGTGATTTCTTTAGTCCCCATGATCTCTATTCCAGACTCACACCTAGGAAGTCAGACACAGTGATGTCTATACTGTAATAATGAAATGGAGTGGTAACCACCCTCCTGATTTATAAAGTCTAGGCTGAATCCCCACATGCAAATGCATCTTCTAGCTCTAAGTTAAATCTCCTCCTGGGCGGTGGGTCACAAGCTACTGACTTCTGAGCAAAAGGGTTGGTGCCTAGAAGATGAGAATGTTGGGGCTTCTATACCTAATGACAGCCCTTTCCTAATGAGTGTGACCATATCATACATGTGTCCATGAGGGGATATGACAACATGTGATTGACACAATTGCCTCTTCTTTTCTGAAGGTGCTCTGTCCCAGATCCAGCTTCAGGAGTCAGGACCTGGCCTGGTGTACTCCTCAGAATCACTGTCCCTCATTTGCTCTGTCACTGGTTATTCCATCTCCAGTGGTTACTTGTGGCACTGGATCCAGCAGTCCCCAGAGAAGAAGCAGGAGTGGATGGGGTACATAAGTAGTGGTGGTGGCACCGGCTACAACCTTACCCTCAAAAGCCGCATCTCCATCACAAGAGAAACATCCAAGAACCAGTTCTTCCTGCAGCTGAGCTCTGTGACCATTGAGGTCACAGCCACATATTGCTGTGCAAGAGAAACAGTAAGGGGTCTTCAGCATTAGCCCACACACAAAACTCCCTGCAGAGGAGCTCTGTTCCAGCAGGGGGCGCTCAGCTCTAACCAAGCCCAGCAACTCTATGAATTCAGAGCACAGACAGAAAAATGCATTTGCTTCCCACTCCCCACGTACAGAGAAGGCAAGGGGTCTTTTATCTCTCTAATATTGAAATTGTGTTCTTTTGTAGGCCCAGATTTATTTATTTCTAACTGTGTCTCTCGAGACAGGGTACACAGTTATAATTCTTGTCACTTTAAATTTGAAGGAAGTCTTTACAAAATGACCCATCTCTGTGGTTTTAGAAATATGTTTTGATGAAAGTAGCTTTTTGTAACTCAGTTAATCTCACATGGCAATAGATTTCACATAAAAATGTGATTCTACTTTTGACAGCTCACACACTCCACGCTCAGCAACATCTGTATTTTGGAGCACATCCTATCCTCCTCACACAAAGCAGTTTCTGATATGTCTACAGAATGAGACATAGTACGAAAAGTGTGTCCATACACCACTATAGTTGAATTACCCACAATGAAAAGCACAGCCAGGAATTTCCTGGTGTCAAGCTTGTGTATAAAAGAACTCTGCTGTTGGTAGTTACTGTTCCTAGAGATGGATTATTCTGTGCAAGAAAATGTATCAGTTGGTAAAAGAATTAAAAACATATTATTTAAATACTGATGGTTAATATTTTTAAATATGACAGAGGAGTATCCACCTTTGACATAGGGAATTCAAAATTATGTGTTCAGATTTACCAGGACCTGTGATTTGTGATCTCATCACACAGAGTCATGGGGGTAGAAATATAACCCTAGTTCACACTCTGAAACTCAGTATCCCACCCATGTAATGAAAATAAAATCATCAGTGTAAGGGATCTCATATTAAATCTTCAGTGCCACTACACAATGTATTCTGTGATATACTTGAAAAATTCTGCCTGAACATTAGGAAAATTTGAACAACCCAAAGATGAGATGTAATGTCTGAAATAAATGTTCCCCAAACCATGATAGTATCACACACAAGGTAACACAGCATGAAGAGTGGTTAAAGTCCCCCAGAACATGCACTGTACAGCTACCCCTCCATTGATAAGATCTGTCCCTACCATAGAATCCCATAGCCTAAAGATCATTCATAAAATAAATGAATCAGATATGAGATTTCCAGGGATGAAGAAGTGGGTGGGCATCCAAAAAGGCCATTCAAGTCCCACAGTCTGTCTTCAGTTGTTAGCATTTTCTAATAACCGCTATAATTCAGACTCAATAGTACAGTGTGGACATAGAATGAAGGTTTACCTTGGTATATGAGCAAAGGAAAGTAGGTCATCTTCATTTTCACAAAGCAGTGTCTGGAAGGCATGCTCCTCATCATTTGTCATTTGACTGGGAGTAAGCAAACAAGTGTGTGATCAAGAAAATAATCCTGAAGATATATTAGATGGTATTTTCTGGATAAACTGTGGATGGAGGTGGAAGGAGGGATAGGGAGAAGGGAGGGGTGTGAGAACATCAGGGAGCAGGATGGTTGAGGTGGTTATGGATGCAGTGTGAGACCAAAGAAAGAGAAGTCTTCATAGAGACAGCCACTATTGGGTTATGGGGAAACCTGGAGTTAGTGTAATTCCCAAGAATCCACAAGGGTGACTCCAGTTAAGACTCCTAGCAATAGGGGAGAGGGAGACTGAACTGTTAAGACTCCTAGCAATAGAAGAGGGTGACTGAACTGTGAAGATGCAGGAGCTTAAGGCGCAGAAATTCCCCCTGCGGCAGGGGGTGCAGATCACACATCAAAACAGCACATTGCAGGAACAGGTACAAATGTAACTGAGTGTTCCTGGGTTCTCAGTCTCAGCTGGCTTTCTATCTGATGATTTCTCATAATGCTATCTGCACTCGTGGTCTGTAAAGATGGCAAAAACAGAGCTCTGTTTTTCCTACACACACACACACACACACACACACACACACACACACACACACACACACACACGGGCACGCAGCACACACGCATAAGGTATTAAATGAATTAAATACTAAAACTCATTGGTGACTGCAGAAATTGCTGCTGATGTCACCGCGATCAAATGTGAATAAAGGTCCTTGTTGTTGGTGAGGATATTGCCTCATGAAATTCATAGAAAATCCTGAGATCCTAAAATATTCTGATTAGGTCATTGTTTTGGATTAGGGGAGTTTGGAGCAGACACACTGTGTGACTTGTATACCCTAAGAGGTCTGAAATATGTCTGATTTCCTGAGAACTGTGCACCTCAGTAACAGATCTGAGCTATTTTCTGCTACTTAATGATTACCGTCATGTATCCTTCTATAGTTTGTTCATCTAGAACAACTATGACATTGGTTCTCAACATTGATGATATCCGTTCACATTAAACTCACCTGAGGCTCAGGCTGCAGCGCCTGTGGCCTCTGAGGATGGTTGTGGTAAAAGGGTCTGTCCCAATTTTACAGACTCCTTCTTCCATCGCTTTTCAGAGAATCCTAAAAATTAAAAGGGTATGGTTAACCTGGGAATATGTCTACTAAATTGAAATATTAATATTGGATAGGTGAAGGACCTACAATGTTATGTTCTTCCATCTTGTGCCACTTTGGGAACACTGACAGATAGTTTTCCTGCTGAGCAGTGAACTCTAGGACTCAGTGCCCTGGTCTGTTTAAGACAAGTTGTCCTTCTTTCTGATAATTACCCACGTGCAACTGACCTTGCTTAAGGAAAGTTCAGCCCAAGTTGTCCTCTGTCCAAGAACCCCCACAATATCCCTACCTCACTTCAATGGAGAAAATCGTTTCTTGTTTTCTCATCATGACCTCATTATTAGTCGAAATCAAACATTTTCACACAACAGCATTTGTGTGAGAAAAGCTTCAATTGAAAAACCACTCGTGAACTGTACACCTCCATCATGAAGTAACTCCTTACTCAAGGTAAAAATATAGAAGTGTCCTCATTTGCAGTAGACAAAGGCTAGACATGTTTGAATCACTGCACTACTCCATGTGTTCTGCAGAAATATTCATTTCAGTCACACAGTTTACAAAACTACATTGTGCTTCATGGATTGTGGGATTGTGAAAGATCTGTGAACCGGCAAGACCCTTACCGTTCCAGAAACATGTGAAAGTTTGTTGTAGGCATTTATATTCAAAATATTGAAAAGAATAAATCTAAAAAAACAATATAATTCCTGTGGTGATAACAAGTGAAATCTTTCCTCATGATGACTTATACAGATGGCATGTAAAGTAGTGCATTTGTGTGTGGCTAAGGAAATTTTTAACAGAGTAAGGAATAAATGCAGTGAGTGACCATGTATTAATATATTTTTAACAATGCTGAAAATGAATAGAAAGAATTGTAAGCATATTAAGCTTCCTTTGCAATCTTTACACCATGTACCACTCCTATTGACCACCTTCTCATTCTGTTTCTATTCCTATACTTGTGCCTTCCTTCCTTGCAGATAGTCACAGAATCTGCATGTTCATAGTTGCAATGTCCTTGTCATAATCAAAATGAGCATTACAGAATATTCCTCTCTGTATGCTGACTCTTACATTCATTCCACCCAATCCTCCATGGTGCTCCTTGAGGAGAATCAATCATACGTCACTTGTTACTGAGTAAGTAGCATGACTTTTATTTGATTAATATCATTGTTGCGAGACAGCTAAAAGGAAAACCAAAGTAAATTAATTGTGCAGATTCCGAGGAGCAGGTTCAGAAAGGGGCCACCTAGAATGTTCCCTGACTCTAATGTGAGCTTTTACTCTCAGTTAACCCAGGAGACCTCTCCTTTTTCAGCTACAGACCATGCCTTGGAGGACATGAGATCTGACAATAGTAAGTTCAGTTGGTTCCTAGAAACTTTAACTCTCATGAGAATGCTACAGAAGCAGAAGTAATACAATTTAAAGGCCCTCTCAGTCACCATGTAGACAGTTTACCTATAGAAGAATGAATTTCTCAGTTGGAAACCTAGGAGATGGCACATTTGTCTCACAGAGAGGTGATTTCAATGTTCTTCATGCGGAGTCCCACCACCAATCAGTGTAGAGGGAGGGGACAGGTTTGGAGAGATGGAAGGATATCAGAGCAGGTCTCAGAGCTCATGGTCTAGATCTCGCTGTACTCACAGACATGTTCCTTAATTACTTAGACAACAATCAGAAATATTGACCTAATGTACATGAGTGCTACATGAAACACAGTCCAGATACAAACATAACAACATGTTCAAATTTTTCAAAAATTATTTACAGAAAAATAATACATGCAACTTATGTTTTTATTTTTCAAAACTGAATGTGCACACACCAGTTGTTTTTCATGTATCAGCATCAAGCTACCTCCTTGAAACCAATCCCTTCCATTTAATATCTTGATTCAATATTTGTAAAGCATTGCTATTCCTTCTAAAATCATCAAACTTTATTATAATCAACCCCATGGCACAAATAAGGCAGAGGGGTGTCTGCAGTCCAAAATACAATAAGACTTTGAATTACATCACAAATATATGATAAATAATGGATAATTCCTTAATTATTTCCCAATTATTCCATTTTGTTTACTTCATCTCCTTGACACATTCTTGACTAATGCTTCTACAACAGAACTCATTCAGCATGAGGAAATACAGACAAGTGCTCCCCATATTCGTGAATAAATATCCCAGCCCTGACCATGTAGCTCTGTCTGAGGATCCTAGCCCTGCATTTCCAGATCTTTCCATTCAACATGCAACACTGAACTCAGAACATTCACGCTGAGATTCAGTGTTACAGGAGACTTCCTTGTTGATTTTGACTGGGATTGGTGTGCACAATAAGATTATTTTAAAAATAAAAGATTCAAATAATTTTAATTAAAAGGATTTTTGTTAATTTCTATGCAATTGGTATACCTGTCAATATCCACACTCAAATGCTTTCATCTGCATCCCTTACTCATGATCAAATTCATAG